TTGTTATAAAGTTATGCTCTTTGGCCTTAAAAATGCAGGGGTAACCTATCAAAGGTTGATGGATATGATTTTTGCATAACAAATAGGGAGATGTATGGAAGTATATGTTGATGATATGGTAGTTAAATCCATCTCTCTCTACAGTCATGTTGCTCATTTAACTAAAGTATTCACCGAAGCAAGACGGCATGAGATGCGGTTTAATCCTGAGAAATATACATTTGGGATAGCCGGTGGAAAATTTTTAGGATTCATGCTGAAAGAGGAATTTAGGCAAATCCAGATAAGTGTCAAGCTATTATTGATATGACTAGCCCTCGTAATATGAAAGAAGTATAATTACTAGCTGATTGAATAGCTGTACTAGCCAGGTTCTTGCCTGCAATGGCAAAAATATCTCTGTCTTTCATTGATCTTCTCAAGAAATCGCAAAAATTCACCTGGACGGACGAGTGTGAAGAAGCCTTTGTCCAGTACATCATCAAAACTTTATCATAATCAAATTACTATATCACACACATTATGCTTAATATTTATTTGATCATGCTTAGTTAAGCATCTTCTATCAAAACACGCTTATCCCTATATTCTATCTTAACCACATTGCAACCCATAGCAAATAAATGAATTCAAAACAAAATGAGATAGGGTAGAGTCTCCCTTACCTCAGAATGAACACCAAACACGAAACTCAACAATAGAAATGCTCCCCACACAAATTTTGTCGTAAATACATGAAAGAATTCCATGAGAAACCAAAGAGAATAGAGAAAACAGAGAGTAGGGACGAAAACTGAAACCTTAGCCATCAAAACTTACCTCCAAATGCTTTAAACGTGATTCCAACCTTCAATCTTATTCCTAAATGGCTTTGGAGGCAGTTTAATCGGTGAAAATAAGTTAATGGTAGAGAGAATTGAAAGAGAGATGAGAGAAAGAGTGGAAAATGAGTTTACCTGAACCCTAAACCCCTCAAATAGCCTTCTTGTAGCGATAACTTCGCTGCAGCGACACTTCTCTTTGCTACAGCAAAAATATCAGATGAAACTACACTCTGATTTCTGCAGAATCTTGCTACAGCGAGGCTCTCTCACTGCAGCGAGACTACAACCTAAAATGCACCCCTTTTCTGTTGCCTTCTTGCTACAACAAGGCACCTCTCGCTACAACGAGAACGCAACAGAGGCACGCCTTTTGCCCAGAGCCTTCTCGCTGTAGTACACATTTACCCTATATCTCAAACAATTCCAACCCAATCACAAGTCCACATCACATTTCAACCATACTATACATATATCTTCATGATTATATTCACATTCAAATCATCATACAATCAAATGCACATTCAAACATCAATTAACATTCATATTAATAAATCAATATATATTGTTACAAACTTCGGAGCGTTACAGACACCTTCTACTCAAGCAAGAATGACCCTCTCTCAGATAAAAGTATATAAAAAAAAGCGAAGAATGACCATTGTCTGGTTTTCTCGCCTAGGCGAGAGTCAGCTCGTTCAAGCAAGAGCGCACGAGTTAAGGGATATTTAAGAAATTTTCAGCATGGAAACTTTAATTTTTCAACTCAAGTTACATTCTCCCTCATTTCTCTCTGAACTTCCACTTTGTTTTTCTTAGAGAAACCTTCTTCGAACCCCCTATTGTTGCTCGAATCCAAACTTGGACTTCTAGTATAAGCGCTCCACGTTAGTCTCTCTGAGTTTAATTTTATATTCTCTGTTTGTTTCTCTTTGTTTTCTATTTCTCAAGGGTATCTTATGATATCTAGGAAAAACTTCTATTTTTGAACGATGGTCTTCTTTAATCTCTACCTAAATCTTTATCTTAAGGTAAGGAGAGTTTTGTTTTATCATCTTATTATAATATATATAATTTGTGCTCATGGAAGCATTATTACATAATTTTGTATGAGAATATATGTTTGAATAATAGGATTTATGAAGGAATATATACGTGTTTGATTGATTAGTTTGAGTGATCATGCTATGTTTATATGAAATATGTGATGAGAATTAAGTGTAGATATGTTATGATAAAGTATGATATTATAGCCGAATAACATTTGATGATGTATAATGAAGGTGTTGGATATGATATTGTATTTGTTGGTTTGAAATGTGTATATTGTATTGGTGATACATGTCTAGAAATGTTTTGAATAAATATGATCTTGTAGTTAAAGAATATATGATTGTGATAAAAAGTTAATGACGATAATGTAAAGGATTTGATTATTATAATCGTATCTTGGTGCTATGAGTGATATGGACTTAGTCTGGAAGTGCTTTGCTAAGCATGATTAGGTTGGATAATTAAAGAAGTATGGTATGAATATAAAGTGTTGAATGGAACTAGTATAAATAGTTACAAAGATACACTGAGGTATAGAGTTCGTAGACAATGAGAAATCTTGGAGAAATATAAGGTGGTGATCGATATTAGCGTATGTGTACACACTATTTCTGAGAGCGAATACATCACATAGCCTCACACTTGTTTTCTAACTAGACTTCTGATTATACCTTTGCTAAGGGGCTTGTTATTGTATACGTTGTATCTGTGTGTATGGGTTAACTGGCGACTATTTACCTAGCTGTGTAAGACGTCAAAAAGTGCTAGAGGCATCATATGTCTGTGATCACAGTGCAATCGGAATGTGCATTTGAAAGAGAGAAATGTAATGACTTGTGATAGAATCTATTCATATGTGATTATATGAGGATCATTGATATACTATTCTGTGATTGATATTATTATGTTTTCCTTTATACTATGATTATATTTATGTTGTGATATTAATCATTAAGATCATGTTATGTTTAATGATAAGATAGACGCTCATCCTTGGTAATCATTTTAGGGAACAAAGATGATGGCACCCCAAAGGCATATTAGATTAGTAGATTATTCTATACATTGTAAAATAAACTATATATTTAATGAATATCAGCAGTCTATTATTTTAAGTTTGCCAAAGACAATGATAATGTACCTAGCCATGTTTATACTATGGAAATAGACTTAGATCATAGTGTTCCCTTAGATTTTCCTGTAGATAATAGGATTCACCACACCCTCTATATTTATATTTATAGATGTACAATTAGGACTACAATAGCTGTGAGCTATTTGTGTACCTACCTTGATCATAATCTTCTTGGAAGATCGATTTAGGTAACTTTTGAGCAAATCATGAGTGTTGAGGTCGTCATTGATTCTGGCGACCTCTATCTCAGAGAAGACGCAGATCTGATTCCGGAGGAGCTAACTGAGATAGAGAGCTGGCATGGCAACGACAACTAGGGCTAGATTCTCAGCATTTTAGATATGGGCTGTGATTACTCTTAGGATTTTGTTTATTTTGATTATGTAATTAATTACTCTAAGTCCTATAGTTTTCTAATCAAATGTTTGTAAATAATTGTACTGTATATATGCAAATGATACTAGTACATGTATATTTCTTAAATATTTTTTCATTTTTATTACCTAAATTAATTTATGAATATATTTATTCACCAGAAAAGTTTTAATCTTTTCCATATATGTATTATGCATACAAAACAAATGAAAATTCATTTCATTTTATTAGTTTCAATTTAAATTATTATTTATACTAAAATTAAAATTTAAGGATATCACACATAGCTGCTTTTCAAAAGTGACTTTGAAAAACAATTAAGTACCAACTCCTATATGAAGGTAACTTTTGGAGATCAATTATTATATAACCCACCCTCCAAACGTCACTTTCAAAGAGCACTTATATTATTTCAATCTACAAGTGACCATTTTTAAAATTAACTTGACATAGTCACTTCAAAAAATATAAAATGACGTAGTGAAAGAAGATTAAGAAAGCACATGTGAGTGAGAAATTGATATTCTATTATAAAATGTAACATTATAGCGATATAACAATATATTATGATTATAATAGATTTTTAATGTTAAAAGAAAAAAGAAAAAGAGAGGTAAAGTCTAAAAATCTCAAAAAGATAAAAATAAACTATTTTAAAAATATTTATAAATAATATTATTTTATGATTATAATAAAATTTTAATATATTATTTAATGTAACAAATCATTCTTATGTTATTTAATTTTAGTGTTTCTTAAAGAAAATAATTAAATTCACTAATATTTCTTAATATATGAGAACAATGTTTTAATTTTTAAATTTAAATAACTATTTTCAGTATCATTGCACGTTTTTAATAAGAGACTAGAACGAAAGTTTACTAAATTAATTATAATCTATAAACTTTTTACTAATAAAGGAAGAGACAAAGCAATACCAATATCAAAATGAAAGTGAATGTCAAATTGACTTATTGTGGACGCCAGCGTTTCCAGAAGTCAAATTGTGCTTTCACGCTGTCATGACACATTGACTACTTTTTGGTTCATAGAGATTGACCCTTCTATTTAATGGAGCTAATGGCAATTTGTCCAAATATTTGAACAATCAACCACTCGTTTCTTCTCTCTCTCTCTCTTTCCTTTTCTTCTTCTGAATCTGTTGGATGTGAAGATCGACTATGCACCTCTAAAGGTTGCAATCAGTATTTCGGAGGGAAACGAGCAATAAGTTGAATGAAAATGTTTTAATTTTATGAGATTGAAATGAAAAACTTGTTAAAATTAACTTGGCATAGCCATTTCAATAAACGAATGAAAAAGCATATCAGCATCACAAATTATATATATTCATATTCTGTGCTACGATTTTCTACTTCACAAGCTATTTGTTTAACCTCTCCCCATATCTTGTTCTTAATTATTTTCCCCAATTACGTATACCTTACGGAAAGGTAGAAGGATACAAAAAGAAGAAACTATGCATCAGTGCCCAAAACTATCGATAGAAGCTTAGAAAGATTTCAAATATTTCGAAATCTAAATATAAAGATATTCTTACACAAACTAGACCATTTAAGGAAACAGTACTAAACACCATTAATGGAGCCAGGCTCCCACTTTCAAATGTTCTATTCTATACATATGTTTTTTCATCCAACCCCAGAAACGAAAAAGAAGAACACGTGCGACAACAAAAGCACGTGCCCAACCTTTATCACGGAGTTTTACCTTTTAACTATCCGTCACCGGTTCTAATTCGTCGGTGTGACGACGAAATCAAACAGAAAAAAAAAAAAAAAGAGTTCACAGGTGGTTGTGTTGTTGCCCGTGGCGGATGAAATAAGCAGGCACGGGACTTGCACGTGGCGACCTGAGAGGGATTTCATTCAACTGCTTCCCGTTACTATCGTAATAAATTACACCCGAGAAATCCAACGGCTCACATTTGTCCCCCATCAAGATCGCCTTCTGCCACACCCCACCGTCTCCCCAATCCTCTTCCTCTCCCTTCTTCTTGAACTTACGAACAAACGGCAGCGTTTTGCTGCTTATGTTGCCCAGCAGCTTCTTCGGCGATCTCAGCTCGATTCTCCACTCCTCCTTCGTCGCCGGAGCCACGGCCTTCAGCTTACGTGGCAGCCGGCTCGCTCGCTTCGCCAGCACCGCGAGCACCGCCGTCACGGCCACCAAGAACCGGCTTGCTTGGTGCTTCGGCGAGTCCATGGATTAATTGGCTAAGAGAATATGGCAGAGTTTCAGTTTCCGAGATTCTGTGCGGTTTGAGTGAAAACTGAAGAGAAATGTGCTGCTAGTGCTATATATAATGTGCCAGAGTCTACCGTTTTTTCCGTTGACTCCCGCTCCGTTTTTATTTTAGTTTTAGCAAATGTTTAAACTGCTTTCTTAAATATATTATGACGTCGACGATTTTATGATTCTTCAATGGAAATTAATTTTTGACACTCGTTAAATAGGAGTGGAATACATGATAAATAAATTATATATAAAAATATTAGATTTTTCTTGAATAATATATGTATTTTTATCCTTCATATTATGGTTCTTTTTTTTTTTGTTATATCATATTATTATTATATTATATTATTATTGTTCTTTAACCGTAAACTTTGTTGATGAAATAATTAATCGTTAAATGATATTACTCCTTGAACGTATTTAGTTGAAAAATTAGTTTTCAAGGGCGTAGTTTGAGTTGAGTCAAATCAGTTTTTTAAGACTAAATTGACCCAACAAAAAAACATATTTTGAAATTCAAGTTTCAAGAATAATTTTATAAGAACAAAATATAAGTGCAAATATTGTTATCTAATTGGAATTGGAGTTTTATATTGATTATATGAATAACGTTAATATTCTGATTGTTAGTATAAATCTTTATTATATATATTATTGAAATAAAATTTTAACTTTTAAAAACTAATATTAATAATATTTACAATATTACACTTGAATTTTCAATTTTTTTATTCCAATAATTAATACAGCATATGCGGTGTATTATAACATCTGGGGACTTATTTCATCTTTATTCTTAAATTTTAGTTGAGTTTTCTTTTAAAGAAAATTACGGTCGAGTGTGAAGACACGTGGATACAAGGATTTTCTGTGCGATCTGAAAGGTAAGAACAAATGATGTTTCTATGATAACAATGTAATTTTGCTCTTCAGACATTTGCATCAATTAATTGCGTATCTGATAAGATTCAAATTTGTCATTTGGAGGTGTATTGCCATTTTGTGGAAGATACTGAAATTTAATGGCTGATATCATAATTTTAGGAAACTTGTCTGAAAAATCTATATCATTTGTGGAAAAGGATAATTACTTACGTTTTAACTTCTTCGTATCTAGAAAACAAATTCGCTGGATTTTAATTAGTGATTATCAGTGAACTTTTATTCCATAACTTTGTATGCGATAACACTTCAAGATTGTTATATAACAGGAATGAGTGGTTTTAGAAATGGGGTTTGTTTTGGTTATTTGATTTTAAGAAATTTTATTGAGTTTGACAAGACTATTGATAGGTTATGATCAACGTTTGATAAAATTAATTAATAAATTAGTTTAAATTTATAAGTTATTTTTTAAAAGCTTGTACAATAGTTTATTGAATTGAAAAGATTTAATAAGGTTAGTTATTAAAATAGGTGATAAATATAAAATAAAAAGATATATTTTTATACTTTTTATTTATTTTTATTTTGTAGATCAAAATACTTTTAGATAATTAGAAATTTTATTAATTTTAAACTCTTATTAATCTTCTTCAGAAATAAAGTGTGTATTAAAAAAATTAAAAAGCTTAATAGTTGACATAATTTTAAACTCTTATAAAATAAATCCAAAAATTAGTTAAAAAAAGAATAATGAATAATAAAGTCGTTTTTTTTTTTTTATCTCTTTATTCGTAGTTTTACTCTTGAATTGCAATAATTAATACTTTGACGTCTTAATTTTTCGTTCATACGTTATACCTATGCTCAAAATTCGGTGACTAAAAGATCATATATTTTTATTAAAATGTTTAATTTTATATTATAACTCAAAAATAATAATGAGAGGTTAAAACAAAAGTGTATTAAGATAGTGAGAACAACAATGGAAATAAAAAAGGACACATATGCTTATAAGCTACAAAATAACTGAAGTAGTTTATAGTTTATTAACTATAAGATAGTGAAATAAGGTTATTTATAAAAAAATTTTATTCAATTAATTTTTAAATTAGTCAAATATATTAGAAGTTAGTTTATTTAAAATCTTTGATGAATATGCAGTAGCTTTGTCAACAACTGTATTTGACAAAAACTAAGTTACTAGAAATGTATGATTCTGAATTTTTTTTTATAAATATTAGGTTATAAGTTTTAATTTGATAAGCTAATCAAACCAGCGTGTGATTTACGTTACGAGTTGAACGATAGTTTTTCTAATTTCGTTAGTGTTAATTTTAAAAAATAAAATTTTTAACTCTCCCGTATTAATATCTTTATTTTTAAATTAGAGTTTATATTTTAGAGTTTCATTCCTTAAATTTATGATTATAAAAAAATTGAATTAAATATCAACAATAAATATATATTTTTATAATCATAAATTTAAGGAATGAAACTCTAAAATATAAACTCTAATTTAAAAATAGAAAAAAATTAAGATAAGTTTTATAAATATAAAAATAGGTATTTATGAAAAATATAAAAATATATGTAAAGTAATAAGTGAAAGTTAAGTAATAACTTTAATTTTTTCTAATTTAAAATGAAATTAATAAAGATTTAAAGAAAAAAGAAAAATATTACAAAAAGAAATGATACAATTTATATATTATTTTCAGTTAATTTTAATTTTAAAATATACACTTAGTAAAATATTTAATGATAAAGTATGAAGCAATATAAATATAGAGCTACTAATCAATTTGGACTAATTAATAATAAAGTCTATAATATTTTAGATTAAGTAAATACTCATTTTAGTTAAAAAAAATTTGTATGTGTCTATTAATTTTATTGTTAAGTGTTTAAAAATATCACATTAATCTTTAATATTAGTTTTTATCATTAAGTGACATTAAAAAAAAAAACTAAGTGAACGTTGAATGGTACTATGAGATCCATCTTGAAGAACAAAATGACGTTGAACTATTTATTGTCTATCTTATGTTCTTTAACCATGATTTGTAATATTCATTATTTTTCATATTTTTTAACTGGGATTTGTATTGTATATTGTCTTTGTCATGCTCCTCAACTGTGATTTTTCAGTAACAAAGTATCATTCATCATCTTTCTCATGCTTAAATTTTTCTCTACCATGAGAAACAAAGATCAAATAAACATAAGAGAAGAAATTAAAAAGTAAACTTTATAGTTTTAGCGGTACACAATCCTGTCTCTACATGGTTGATTTGAAACAAAATAGGACGATTAACTAAGACCTCATAATATTTCAATATTAGGAAATCATTCATTTTTAGCAAATGATTCTTCACCTTACAAAGTAAATCTAGAAGAACACTTGTGATACTTACAAATACAACAAACGAAGCTATTCCAACCATTATCCCCTTTGAAAAAGTTTTCCCATTTGATAACACCAATATTGATGTTTGCTCTAAAGACACCATCATTTCTCCTTCCTTCTCTATATCCACAATTGCAAATTTTGCTTGCAATTTGCCTTCTCCTCCATGTACCATAACTTTGTCACCACTACCTCTTTGAAACAAATGTCATCATTGTCTTACGACAACATTTTCTTCTAATACAAGTATAAATTGTATCTTATGTAAGTAAAATTTATTCAAATAAAATTATATGAAATTAGAACCCTAAAGATAATTGAAAATATCAATAATAATTATAATAGAGTTTTAGGCATACTTATTAAAGACATAACCTTTGTATGAAAGTCGGACTCAATCTCTCAATTCTATAAGAAATGATAGGATATATCTCTATGTAAATCACACTCATAAATTATAACTCTCGATAGGGCAAGTTGTTGAGTAACTCATGTAATTACATAATTATCTGTAACTGTAACACCTTAATTTAGTTTTTTAAATAAATTAATTTTGCAGTAAGTGGAAAAAGTGAAATAAATTGTATTCAAATTATTCCCAACACATAGTTTATCAAAGTATTTCAAAATAAGGATGAATTACAAGTTTATATCAAATGATTGCTACAGGACTAATTTAAATACATCAAAGTTTTCAAAATAACTTTCTAAGTTCTATAGCAGTTTCATCTGTCCTTTCACTGAACCCAGTGCTGATCGTCCTGGTTACCTGAAAAATAAATATAAAGTTGAGTACTCTACACTATCAAAATACATACAAAAGCATAGAGTCTCACATTACCCATTCTATATGTTTTCTAACAGAATTCAAATCATTCATCAACCAACACAAGTAATCATTTCATCATTCTATTCTCATTCACACACTGGTGTGCTCACTGCACCATCAAACAATTCACATGAAACACCCACGTACACTCATTGCACATTAGCCACGCTCATTGTGGCACTGTGATAACAGATTCCTGATGCTCTCAACTTCAGGGACTTAGTCAGTTCACACCATGAATAGTCACTGGATAGCTCTCACTCCACGCATACAACGTGTATGGTATTGAGCCCCTGATGAATCCATATTTTTACTGATATTTTAGCATAATTCTAACACAATTGATAAGAAAAATATATGAAGAAAGCAGAAAAACTCAGAAAAGAGAGAAGGAATTTAAGTTTGTTTACATATGTAGTTATTTTAGCAATTGTAGAAATTTTGCTTAGAAATTAAGTTTTTAATCTTGTTTTTGAAGGAATAAATTGAGCATGGATCATGAAAATGGAGGCTTGATGACAAGGAAGAAGCAAGAAGCAAGTTTGGACTCCAAAAACACAAGACCAAGAAAGTGCAGACTAGGCGTGATCACTATTGTCAGTAAAAGTGATCACTCCAGAGTTCAAAGAAGAAGAAAGCTTGGACGTTATCACTTCTGCTAGGAAAAGTGAGAGATCCTATGAAGTCTTAGACTCAACATGCTGGGCGTTATCACTTTTATCAGTAAAAGTGAGCGTTCCAGAGAGGCAAATATCAGGAAAAGCTCTGCGTAACCACTATTATCAGCGAAAGTGAACGTTCAAAGAGCCTTCATTTTGGCGAGTTGCGCGTAATCACTTTTTCTAATAAGAGTGATCACGCGCAACCACTTAACCTCTGTGTTGTCACTTTTACCAGC